AAAAGATGCTGATCTTTCTCTTAAGTGTGAAGACACATAGATTGATCAGCAGTTGAAAGCAATGTGTTTCAATCAGTTACAGTTAATACATACTTCACATTAATGTCAATCAGTGACTTTCTCAGAAGTGATCCCAGGGACTCAGAAGCCTGTTTAAACAGTGAAAACTCTTGCTTATGTATAGACATTTGAATCTATTCAGTTTATAACATCTGCATCATTACTGTTCTTCAGTGTGAGTGTATAAGTGACTAAAGTGTAACATCTTCTATTACTGTTCTGTATACTCTTGAGCTTGATAAGATGATCATTCAATGTCTGAAGCTGTGTGCAGAAATCTTTATAAGTCTGATCTTTGTCTACACTTACAAGAACCTGTAAGAGTTCAAAAGTTAATATCTTCTTAAGCATACTAATCTTCATTTGATTCTCTCAAGATTGATCACCTGCTTCTAGAATCTTGATGTCAAAGTCAGAGATGAATGTTGTAAGAGAATTGTTTCTCTGTCAGATGCTCTGTAATCAATCTAATACTTTCTGTTATATGACAGTGTCTTGAAACAGAACATCAAGATATTTGATAATATTATCAGGCATTTGGAATGCTGATTCACATGCTTTCATTCATGAATGAAACTTCTGTTTCATGCAATTCTTCAATTATTCATTGATATATCAATCTTGATTGATTAATGAACTGATGACATCTTCATCTATACTTAGTTTCACAAGCATTTCCATTCTTCATGATGAGTAGAGAGTGAGATTGAAAGTATTGAAATATACAGAAGTATCTAAGTGTTCTTTCAGCACTTTTGTATTTGATTCTGTAGATATTGAAATTGTCTGTACAGAGATTTCTTGTTAAGATAATTGTTGAATTTCTTCATATTAACATTGTTGAGTTGCATGCATATTAGCTATTTATTATTATTGTAATTTCAACATTGCTTAAAGTTACTGTGATATTGCTTCTATACTCGCATTTGAAAGTTCTCTCATATTGTTGTTAGACATGCCATTCATTGAGTTTATGATATCTGTGAAATCTTGAAAAAGTGTAATTATATAAATATCTTATATATCTGAGTGTCAGAACTCTCAGATCTTTCACTGTTATTCTCTTTATAAGATTTTATTACAGAGTCAGAGTGACTGATAAGCAAGCTTCTATCTGAGAACTCAGTGTCTGCTTTAACTGATTGTTTCTCTTTCTTACACATTATTACATGTTTAGATATCTCTCAATGAATAATTGTTTCTAATGAGAAGACAATGCATGAATAATCATTTCTAATAAGAAGATAATGAACATTTTTCTAGTATAAGAGGCCTATGCTGAATAGATTGATATAATATTAATAGATCTTATATAACAAAGAGAAAAATGTTAGAGAAGAAAAAGAAATAGAAAGTGTGAGAATCAGTGATTGAAGTGAATATTTATACACATATGTGATGATGTATGTAATGAGGCTTTGAAGTGGAAGAATCTATACACATTCGTGACGGCTGAGGATCAGTGATTGAGAATGGCTGAGAATCAGAGTGTACGTGTTTGAGAATGAAGCAGTTAAAATCTGTGAAGTGTAATGAAATAGTCTATATAATTGATCGGGCGCAGCCTGTCACAATTCAGATCATAAAGAATTATCTTTATAAGTTCTATAATCACTTATAAGACAATTGATATGATCTTCTTCTACACACTGAAGTCACTATTAATGACTGAGATGCTGTTTCAACAGATGTAAGCTCATTCTTTCTCACATATAAATATTATATAAAAGTACTGAATCTTCTAGAGATTATATATTTCACACTGAACCTCTGCAGTCTGATTCAGATCACTGATAATATAGTAATAAAACTCTGAGACATCTGTGATTGAGTAGAAGTCTTTATAATGAGTGTTAAACAGAATTAAGAAGATCAAATCAATGTTTACTGAGATCTCACTGAATAATATAAGATAGAAGATCTGATATGATTGAATCTTAAGAATATATGAATCACATGTTCATCTCACACACTGAATTATCATTATATAAAGTATAAAGTGATAGAAGTTCTAGACAGTTATAACTATTATCTTGATATATTATCAGAGATTCATAATGTCTTTCATATAAGCTTACTCTGTTATATCATCACTGATCTGTTCTCTTCTCAACTGACTTCTGACTGACAGTTATCAGAGATCATAGAAGAAGATAATGAACTTGAATGAGAGATTGAAGATATTCTTAATACGAGATCTCACAGTCACAGCTAATAATATCTTGTGAAATGAGTCAGCTATAATTGTCTGATCTGAACTCTGAGTTTCATATTATCTGAGACTGCAGCTCTTGACTGATGAGAGCTATATATAATTAAGAAAGAGAGAAAGAATTAATATAGCAGGCTGCATCTGATCAATTATATAGACTATTCTATTACACTTTACAGATTTCTACTACTCTGATTCTCAGTCACTGATTCTCAGCTGAAAATCTATGAAATTTCTATTCTTTCACTCTGAAGCTTCACTATGTACAAAAACCTCTATTCTTTCACTCTGAAGTTCCACCGCATACATCACTACATACATATATAAATATTCACTTCAATCACTGATTCTCACACTTTCTCTTTCTTTTCTTCTCTAATGTTTTTCTCTTTGTTATATAAGACCTATAAATATTATACTGATCTATTCAGTGTAGACCTCTTATATCTTTCTTCTATTGATTTTTTACTTCTTACTAATTAATTTATAGCTACAGATAAAAATCACTTAATATAATATTAAATCTGCAAATATTTACAACTTTGATGAGAAAGAATTTCTATTGAGACTTATTTACATTCTCAAACATATCATATTAATTACTTCACTTAAATCAGGTTATATAATAGATATCAGTCAGAATGACAGTTAGGAATTCATAATACTACTTATCTCAATTTATACAGATGAAACTTTGCTTTCATCTGCTCTTATATATCAAGAAGAATTAAGAGATATGCAAGATACTTGACTGAAGAATTTTAATAGTAAAAAGAATCAGATTTACTTTGCTGCTTCAGTAAATAAATGAAGTAATAATGAATATAAATTAATGTGATTAAAGAAGATCTTTGAATCTCTTATAAAAAAGAAAGTAGAATATGAATATAGACTTCTTATATTAAATGATTACTTCTTTCATATTAATATAACATTCATTAATTATATAGATTATTATCAGATTCTACTTACTATCTTTTCTTCTTATTCTATATATTAATTACAGTCACTAGATATTGAAATATTTAAATTATTGAGTAAATTGTACTTCAATCAACTGAATGAACAGATGAGAACTGAAATGAGATTTATATACATTACAAAGAGGTCTTTTTGACAGCTATTTAATACTGTATGAAAGAAAGTAGTTATATTTTTAAATATTATATCTGCATTCACTACTACTAATCTATATTCATTTAATTCAGAACAGATTCTTAAAAAGCTTGTAATACAGTCTTACACTCTCTTAGATGTATAATATTAATCAAGAACTTCTACTTCTATTATTAATATACAGAAATTGATGAAGTAAGTCAAGCAGTAACAGTGTTGAATATCTAGTAATATTAATCAGATGATTCATATAGAAGAAAATCTTACTCTTAATAAAGAGATTCTTTTAATAGAGAACAGACAGCTACAGTAAGCTCTTAATTAAGAGAGAAGATATTATAAGTATAATAGAGTAATAAGATTACTAGATTCTTTAAATTTATTATTAACACAGTTCTTTTCATTAATAAAGATACAGATTATATATAAGAAAATGACTTCTTTTGAAGCTGTTAAAAAGAATGAGCAGGCTTATGAGAAGAATATCAAGTTGTAACACATTATTCTTAAGAAATAGAAGAAGATAGATATTATAAAGAAGAGAATAAAGCAGAAGACAGCTTATCAGATAGTAAAGTAGTAAAAAGATATAAATAAGACTGTAAAAGCTGCTCAACAGCAGATTGAAAAGAAGCTTAGAGATGTAAGAAAGACTTAAGAGTAAAAAGAGAAGAAAGAATAAGCTGCTGTATAGCAGTAATCATAGTTAAATAAGAAAAAGATTAAAGAATTTAAAAATCATCTTTCTAATCAGAAAAGTAAACTTTTAATTTTATAAAGAGTGACTAAATTATATTTTTATAGCTCTGTCAGAGTACTTATAAATTCACTACTGAAGAAATCTGATAATATTATAATCTCTACTGATTTAATAATTACTTACTCACTGAATCTGTCTTCACTCAAGATTTTATATTTCAGATAAGTTATTAAGCTTAATAAACATTTACAGAATTAGCTGTATATTTTTATATGTAATTTTCTATATACATTTTCATCATATAATATATCACCTTAATCTAATTATGTTGTTGAGATATCAATGAAAATATTTCATCATCATGATGGCGAAATGGCGGGCGTTGGGTGTAAGCGGGCGTTGAGTGGTTGATCACGTTAAAGCAGCACCGGCAGAGTTCCAGGAGCGGTGCAAAAAGCTGGTGAACACAGACATACAACAGCCAGGATTCGCTGGTGGTCACCCACCCAACTACTAACCGGCCGGCGAGTGGCTTAAGTACGGCTGAGCGGACGGGAAGCCCTGCTTTCCACTCCCTATGGTCGTATGTGGTAGACTGTGAAGTTCAGGGATTTATATTCTGTGGGAATTATTTTTTTTTAGTTTAGTTTGTTAGGTGTGCCCGGATATTCATCTTGATAAATGATAAATCACGAGCTAGGAAAAGTACACAAGGCAAGAGATGAATTAAATCTATAGTTACCGTCGGTGTGTTGTTTGAATCTTGGATGAATGGGATGTCGACCCTTGCTAAAACCATACATCGAACCTTTGCTTCTGGGGGGGGGGGGAGTTGTAGGACCACGCGTTAGGTGAGTTGATGGATTATTACAGCGTAATGAGCTAGCGGCTATTGGATGATGTTAGAGTTGATTCCCTTTAAAGATTCTTTCTATTATATTTTTCTTTTTTTCTATTTTTTCCCCCGGAGCACATAGCACAAAGCGTATAGAATAGAAAGGAAAATAACAAGGGTATGGATAGGCTGGTGTTGCCGTACAACGGCTCGAGAGGTGTGCATGCAGCACCATTATTTTCGTATAATAGGAGGAGGGTACGAAAGAGCATTCTTAGGTCCTTTGATCAACCCCATCAACGGAGTAACGCTTTAGGAAGGACACGAATGTTGGTTTCGTTGGATGGTATGCTCTGGACAGGGGTCGAGATGCTGAACGAGGGTCACCCATTTCACGTCACGCATCGAGCACCTGCACATCTCGGGATTATGCTAATGGTTGCATGATATATATACATATATACAAAAAAATGGGAGGTAACGGAATAACAAATAAAACCTAGTGGGAGGAAAATAGCTGAGGAAACAAATGCAGGGAGCGGGTCAGAAAAGAATAAAAAATCGAGAACTCCAGCCCCGTCTTTACTTCTTTTACTTCTTTGTTTTTCTTTTTAGGTAAATCAACTTTATTGTCAACTTTATTGGATTAGAAGTATCGACCATCTTCATAGATAGAGGCCACTTTCCCATCCTTCATTCGAGCAACACGTTCCTCTTCAATCTTCTTATTTTTCGCCTGATAATGGGCGACAATTGCTGTGAGATCCGCGTGGGCGTTACCTGCAGGTACATTCATGCACCCCCCGGTGTTGAAAGCTCTATTCACCAAGAGAATTAGCATTTTGGTTAGCTTGGTTTCTTAAGCCTGAAACAATGAGCGGGATAGCTAGATTCAAGGGTTTTCTAGGGAGGACAACAAATGACGCACTCAGGAAAGCTCAGCTCCAGGTTTAGGGAGGCGCTCTGGCTGTGGAATAGATGTCGATCAGCGGCAGCTCGCTCGATCGCGGCTGTATGAAGGGCGTTCCGCTGCTCCCACATGCTCTCCTTGGGGAAGTAGTTTTCAATCAGGCGGGTCATCCATGGCTTGCTGTTGGGATCGGATGTGGAGTAGTTGTACAGGGTTAAGCCTATAGGAACGGATACGAGGAATATGTAAAAACCGCGCTGCAAGATGGATGAAGAAGAAATATGTTAGCCTGTGGATTCCAGCGCATGCGTATATGTATCATGTTTTGAAAGCGGACAAGAACGTAGCATAGTATGGTTTTATATCGTTCAATGTAGACATGGACGGTGCCAATTGGTGGCCTGATTCCATTGTTCCAATCCGTGATATCTATCTCCGTACGTGCGACCCTGTCTAGAACCGCGTAGATACAACGGGGGCTGGTGAGGGATGCGTGGTTGGTTACTTACACCAAAGTTCTCGTTCACGGGCTCGGCATGGTGGGATGCGGAGGCTAGGCGGCGAGGCTGCTGGCGGCGGAGGAGGGCACGAGCAGGAACAGCTGCTCTGCGAGCGGGAAACATTGTGGCTGGGATTCGACAATTGGGCCTCGTAAACCGCAATGCGTCGAGGAAAAGATGTTGATGTCTATGGGCTCCAGCTTATTGCGGGCTTGTCGTTGGTGAAGCAGAAGTCAGGTAGGTGAGAGACGATCATGTGACAAGGCAGCCAGATTAGGACTAGGGTTAAACGGAAAGTGATGCGAGACAACAAATCCAACCAGCGACAAATTCGCTCCAATTTTGCTTCACTCTCGAATGAGAAACAACATGGTTCCTTTCGCTTCGCTATGTTAGCATGGCTCCACAGTATCCATATACAACCTGATGACAAGCCCTGAAAAATGGTGATGTGAGATGCTGTTTCTACAGTAACCACTGCCCGGCGCCGATCCAGGTAGCTGATCTGAATTCACCAGCCACGTTCGCATCGCAGCCCGTCGTCAAGCCTGTCGGCTTCGGAGGGCGAGCACACTTTATTTCTGAACTGGACGAGCTGGTCGTCGGCAGGCACGGGATTCATCGAAGCTTGTGGTTGCTGTTTGGGCGAATGGGAGAATTAGCGGATCGCCCACCGCCTTGGACATTTCGAGCTTCCGTGTATCTCTTCTACACTCCCTCACCGTTGTTAGGAATCAGGGTCTAATGGTGAGGCGGCTGTTGTCGACTAGGGGTCTCGAGCCAGTGTCTCACTATTTACTGGCAAGCGCTGCCAGTCGCATCGCTGAGAGCCCCTTTTCGTCTTTACAGCTCGAATTTTGAATCCGTCCGAGGTTGTTTAGCAGAGTGGCTGGTAAGGAGCATCCCCAACGCCTAAAGGCGACGGTCTCAGCCCTGATAGTCAATCTGCATTCTCCATAGCTGGGAAGATTTGAACAGCATTATCTAATTTCTACCTGGTGCTTATTGATAATTGATATCGTTGTTACCATAGCATACAAGCTATGTTCTAGCGGCTACTGAGCAATCTAGGTGGCAAATTGTATCTCTACTCGCAGATACATTGCCGTCAAGCAAGGTGATTCAAATGTCTACCTAAAGAAAAAAAAATCCGAACATGGCATCACTCAGACTTGCTCATGGTTCCATACGGATATAATTTTATATTACACCCTTGAAAAGGATATATCGGTCGTACCTTCGACGGCCCCACTAGAGAAAGGAAAGCAGAGATAGCCCCACCATGTGCCTGCTGTTAATTTCTAAACCGCATCCTGAGGGGTTCCTCGCGCTATGAATCAGTCTAGCTCGGGATAAAATGGAGCTGGATTTCCAACGGACATGCAGTCCAACCAAGGCGACTTCGCGTCTCAGCATCATTAGAAAACACTCATAAACACTCGTCATTGAACTCACCCTGAGCCGTACTTTCGAAGTGACTTACATTATTTACTGGGGCTTCTGTCTGCTAATATGCTGGTTAATAAACATTCTGGAGTGTACTCCGTACTAGTTCCATAGTACACTTCCTTGAGTTGGGATTCGATTGCTACTGTCATACAGACTAATGAGGTTTAAGTGGGCTAGACAGAGGGATTATTAGTAGAGCTGCGGGAGAGTGACGATCACCGTGTTTGATTTACGAAGGGGTTGATAAGATGTAAACGGGGACGACTTAGCGGCTAAAAGAGCGGCAGCAGCGACAAGTGGATACTTGATTTCTAAAACGGACGGATATTCAAAATATTCAAAACAACGGTGTTGGATCTAGGCCACATTCTCTGTGATAAAAGAGCTCTCTTGCCGTCTAGCGGTGACCAGGAATGGGGAACTGGCCGTATCTTTATGGGGCCTTGGATGATATGGATATTGCAAACACACCATTGATATATCTTTTGGACATTGGCTTGTATGTTATATTTAGCGCGCCTTATCGCCTTACCAGTTCTGTTGATAATTCACACCAAGCTTCTTTTTGGGTAAAAGTTTCGGATTTATGTCAGGGTTGCATGCACACTTGCTCTTGGTAAAAATCACCCGACCGATCTTTGTATTCAATCAGCACTTTGCACACGGTTCTTTGCTCTTCTCTTTTCTTCCCATGGCCAATTTCTGTCGTGATCTGGCTGATATCTGTCCTTTCTGCCTAGTCGTCTCTGTGCTAGGAACAACCATTTAATTCCCTGACATACCCGCAGCGGTTGATCTACTGGCTAGCCACCGTTGGGGGCCTCGCCTAACCCTTTAGCGTCGGGCTGGCGGCTCCATTCTTCATGCATCAGGACCACAACTCACAACGCACAACTCACAGCTCACAACCTCTTCGCCTTGGGCATTCCAGGACTCCACCCACTAGCTGCAGCAGAGGACCGAAAACGGTGCTTTTTCTTTTCTCGGGCGCTGACCGGCTGCCAGATGCTGTCTGTCTATACGCTTCATCACGCCCGTTCCGAGCGTCATCAATCCCCATATGCCCGCCACTCAGTCCACCGGGGGGAGGAGTCCCCATTCTCTGGACCACCCCAGCCTCTAATTTTGCCTATGTGTTCGGTTCTCGACGATGCATGCAGGTCCTGTTGCTACCTGACTAACGTAGACAACTGGGCGAACAGATGAGGGAAGACCTTCAATTGATGCCCAATATGCCTACACTCAACATTCCATTGGCCCCTTGCCAGTCGTTTTCTAAAGAACCACTTGCGCCTTCATTTATTTCAGTCATCCTGACGTGGGCAAAATGCACCAGCCATCCCTATTTGGTTTTCTGCGTCTTCCTCGAGCGTTGGCTGTCCAACCCGCTCCCCTGGAAGCTTATATCAGTCGTTGGGCGCGCGACTCTCAACCAGCTTATTATTTCTGGTCACACTTCCACATTTCCACTCTCCTTTCGAGAAATACTTTTCTTTTATGCACCCAACGTCAGTTTTGATTCAACTTGCTTTCTTTGTTTTCACCCCGCCTACATATTTCATCGTTGATTGCTCCGCTGTACACCACCTTTTTTTTATTTTTGTTCATGCCCATTCGCAGGCCCAATCTGATAGAACCATTCAAATTTGAACGGTTTTCTTTCACATCTATACCTTGCTACCCTTCGTCTCACTCACCCCCCTTGGTGCGTGTCTCCTATCGAGGACCTTCACTAAGGATTCGTGTCTTCACTTAACTGCCCTCTTCTGCCTCACTGCCGCATACCATGCTTTCGAATTTTTACCAGTCATACATGTGAACTTCGCCAAACCTGTTTCTCCTCTATCCCGAACAAGGATCCTTAACTTTTCTTTAACTGGGTCCACGTCGATTTTTATCAGGTGACAGCAGACATATTAAAGTATTTGATACCTTTTCTCGCCGGCACCATGGCTCCAGGAAATGCAAAAGCCCGCAAGGGAAAGGAGAATAAAGGCAAGAAAGGAAAAAAAGGAAAGGCGCAGAAACAAGACCAACCTGAAGAACCTCAGCCATCTCAACCACCATCACCAAAATTCGAACCTCAAAAGCCTGAGGAATTTCAACAGCCCGAAGAAACAAAACAACCCATCGAAGAACTTCAAGAACTTCAAGAACCTCAAGAACCCCAAGAACCCCAAGAACCCCAGGAGCCCCAAGAACCCGAAGGATCTCCAGCAACCCAAGAGCCCCAAGAGCCCCAAGAAGCTCAAGAAGCTCAAGAAGCTCAAGAAGCTCAAGAACAAGAAGCTCCTCAACAGCCTCAAGAGTACGAAGAACTGCAGGAGCCTGAACAACTCCAAGGACTTCAAGAGCGCCAAGAACCTGAAGAACCTAAAGAAGCTGAAGCACCTTATGAACCCGAACAACCTAAGACAGCTTCAGACTCCAAAGAACCTCCCCAAATTCAGGACGATCAACATCCTCTACCGCCCCCATCTATCATAGAGAGTCTTCAACCTTTGCCAGATTCCGCTAGTTCAACCCCGTCAGCTACCCCCTTAAGTTTCAGCAAAGAAAGCATATCTTCTCCAAAGGTTTCGAACTTGGAACTTCAAACGCCCGTTGAGAATAGCAACTCCAACCAGGAAGACAAAGATACTAGCAAAGAGGGTGCAAAAAGTAACGACGGCGAAGATAACAAGAGCGAACCTGAAGAACCGCGAGTTCGTTCAGTTCCGTCACCTGCAAGCGCCCTATCATCCCCCGGCCCTGCAACACCAGCTGCCACATTATCCAACAATCCATTTGATGGTCCCAATAACACGAATAAAGAGATTGAAGACCCACCACAGCCACTGAGGCATCCATCACCTTCAGCAGCGGAAATCCGTCTTCCTTCTCCATCACCATCTGAACTGAATCCACGATCTAATCCTGCTGCAGCTCACCATTACCTTCACGGCCATCCGCCAGCACCTATTTCTTCACCCCACTATTCATACGGTAGCCCAGTAGTGCACCCGTATGTACATCCCATGATACCGCCACATAACGGAGCATCATTCGACCCCCACGCGGCTAGCAATATGGCAGTTACCGCCCCAAGTTATCATACCCCTATGCGATCATCCACGATGGACTCGCCATATAGCCCATACCACCATGCTAGAAGGAGTAGCCGAACCTCATATGGTCGGGGATATGCAGATACTTATTACAATAACGACTATGGCCCTGTTCGGGAACCAGCACCCGTCCAGCCACCGGTGATTGAGAACGGGAAATCTGCGTCTAATGGCGAGGGACTCAATATCAGTCTCCTATCACGAATCCAAAGCATTATTCCGGACATCGGCCAACTGGTAATTAGCTATCGAGACCAGCAAACTCAGCTGTCTGCGCGAGAAGCGGAACACAAGCAAATCGAGGCCCAGCATGAGGAATCCCTAATGCGCAAGGAGTATTACATCGAAGCTCTCCAAGCACAGATGCAAAAAACAGCCAACGAGAGCGCGAAGGAATGCTCGAAATTAAAAAGCAGGATTAGCGAACTTCGGCTCGAGCTTGGTGGACTCCAGGAGAAACAAAAGGACATTGAGGAGAGCTTAGCTGATGCCCAAAAGGAGAATGATGAACTTTCGCAACTTCGGGAAGATCTTCAGGAGGATATCGATAATCTCCAACGAGCCATCGAGGACGAGAAGGAAGCCCACGAGGAAGAATTGGCAAAGCAGAGGGAGCAAGAGAAGGAGGCACTCGTCAATCAGAAGCAAGAATTGGAAGGCTATTTCCAGGAGATCAAAAACGAAGATGACAGGCTCGCTGCTGAGCAACTCAAGGCTCGTGAACAGGAACTAACGGTTGAGCGAGACAAACTCAAGGCGGAGTTGGAGACTGAAAAGCAGGAACTTCAGGAAGCAAAGGATGCCATGGCCGCGGATTACGAGGGCAAGCTAGAGTCCAAGCAGGCCGATATCGACACCAAACAAGCAGAAGTTGATGCTAAGCAAGAGCAGCTGGAGGCCAAACAAGCGGAGTTGGACGCGACACAAGCGGCTCTGACTGCTAAAGAAGAGGAGTTGACTTCTAAGCAGGAAGAGTTGACTGCTAGGCAAGCAGAATTAGAAACTACACAGGGCGAGCTAGAAACCACGACGGGAGAATTGGAAACTACAAAGGAGGAATTGGAAGCTACTCGGAGCGAGCTGGAATCTACAAAAGGAAAATTGGAGACCACTCAGGGTGAACTGGAATCAAAGAAAGGAGAATTGGAGACCACTCAGGGTGAACTGGAATCAAAGAAAGGAGAATTGGAGACCACCCAGGGTGAGCTGGAATCAAAGAAAGGAGAATTGGAGACCACCCAGGGTGAACTGGAATCAAAGAAAGGAGAATTGGAGACCACCCAGGGTGAACTGGAATCAAAGAAAGGAGAATTGGAAAGCACCCAGGGCGAGTTGGTAACCACAAAAGATGATTTGGAGCAGAAAGTCAAGGAACTGAAAGCTAAACAAGAGGAGCTGGAAGCGAAACAAAGTGAACTGGAGGCAAAGCAGGATGAACTGGTCGCTTTGCAGCGTGGCCTCGAGACAACGCAGGATGAGCTAACCACCACGAAGGAAGAGCTCGACTCGAAGAAAAGTGAGCTTGACTCGAAGCAATCCGAATTGGAGGAAAAACTTGAAGCGCTTGAGGAGAAAAAGCGCGAGTTGGATGCCAAAAATGCGGAACTGGATGCAAGGAATGCTGATCTAGAAGCAAAGCATTCTGAGCTTGAGACCGTTCAAGGCGAATTAACCAGCAAGCAGACCGAACTCGAATCCAAACAATCCGACCTGGAAGCGAAGCAAGCGGAACTCGATGCGAAGCAGGCGGAACTCGACCAATTGAGGGAAAGCCATATAGCCGAACTCGCCGCGTTAAACGAAACCCACGAGAAGGAACGTGACTCCGCAGCGGAAGAAGCCGAGAAAAAGATTAACAATTTGATAAATGAGTACCAGCAAAAGGAGGAGGCGTGGCAAAAGGCACGCGAGGACCTGGAGGCTCAGCTGGTACAACGAATGGAGGAATTAAGACAGGCTGGGGAAGAGAAGGAGGTTCTCGCCAGGGAGGGTCAAGCTAAACAGGAACAACTGCGGAATGTGGTAGAGGAGATGCGGCAGACTCATGAGAATCTAAGCAAAGACCGTGAAAGGTTGAAGAAAACACTACATAGTCTCGGAGAGGCAACCGATATGAAAATTAAAGGGGACGCCTTCTTGTAAGTATGCCGTCAAGCTTAGCCAACGGAAGCAAGGCCGTGGCATCTAGATTTCTTTTTGCATATTGGGGTTCGGATCTGTTTTTGTGTTATATTTTTGCATTCCCTTTTTCAGCATCTGTTGGCCTTAAAAAAACGTAACTGCAAAATTGTCGTTTGTTTTGTTTTTTCATAGAGCGCCCCACCTTTCTTCTATAGACAAGTTCTAATTATGTCTCGTCTGGTGTTCTAGCTTTCAATGCTTTGGCCAACTTACGCGCCTCATTGTTGACCTCTCGAAAGAACATTTTGGCTACCTCCCTATCGACCCACCCGCAGACATCATTGCAAAGATACCTTCCGAAATCCCCCAGTTCCTTGACAACACCCAAGCATCGCGGGAACTTCGATCTGCCTATGTGCAGCATGTCATTTCTAAGACACTCACCTATAGGATTTTCCAGCCATTCTTGTTCACTCTCGGCAGACGCTACGATAAAGCAGACACCTTTTTCCAAATGCTATCCATGGATATCCGTCGCAAATCCGTGAGGCGCGAGGCTTACTGGAGACAACAGACACTCAAGGCCGCCTACACGACGTCCGACGCCAAACAAGCTATCAATGTAGTTGCTGCAGTCATCGTGGACGAGATCATTGACCATATACGCCACTTCGCGGATCCCAAACACCTCGACCAGTTGCTCGTAGGCGTGCGGAAAATCGTGAAACTTGCTGCAGAAACCTGGCGCCTTGCTCGCGTCGAACGGGAACTGATCATCTCAACCATGCCCTCAGCTGAGGACGAACAAACCGTGAATGAAGGTTGGAAGGAATTCGTTTATGATCCCGCGCCATCACCAACAGCAGAAGAGTCCAACAATGAAACACATTCGGTCCGTAGGCGACGAGTGCTCCTCCGTATGTGCCCTCGCATCTACCGAGAACCGGTGCACGAAGACTTCACCGAAGACGGCGAGAAAGGCACTCAATGCGTGTACCTACCGGGCGTGGTCCTCTATGCCGATTCGCCTTCTGTCCTCGCACGAAAAATGGAAATCGCCAGGAAAACGGCTGACCCCTCTGGATCCGGATCTGGCACTCCTGCTGTAGGCCCAAGTGGTAATGACGGCGACAATCCTTCCGATCTTCCCCTGGATACAGCTGCAGAAAATGACGCAGCGGATCAGGATGCTGGAACTCCTGCAGTGGAGGTTGCTGCATAGCCGTCAACTCCTTCTCCAGAATTTTAGCCCTTCTTAGAGTGCTCCCTTCCCACATATCAGTTTGAAATTTCACTAATGCCCCCTTACTTCACTTTTGCTTAATTTCCTGTTTCAGTTTATTTTCCTCTTCCTGGTTTTCTTTTACATGCTTTATACATAGTTTTTTGTAACATCCTGTAACGGTGATGATAGATGACATATTGTTGTATGATGGGGTTTTTCATCATCGTCTGTTTTTGTCCTTGCGTTCTTCTCCCATATGTCTTTGTTGTACTTGATTTCTATTTTTGGCGAACTTAGCGATGCATAGCGTATTATGTTTGATTTCTGGGAATAATCTTCGGTCTCCATCCTTCCTTCTTTAATTGCCCCTTTCCCAACCTAGTTCATTTCCTAGCATCTACGTTTTGAATTGGCATATGTACTTCCTCTGTTTCTGTCTTCTGTTGCTACTCCTATGAGCCTTCAACTCTCGAACTTCTTAACCTTTTCATTCTTTTTTCGTTCGATCTGGTATCAAACTTTTATACTTTCAAAAACACTTTTGTTCTCAGCTACACTCCCCTACTTTTCGTTTTCAACTTTCCCCCTAATTTCGCTACGAGATATAGGATAATGCAGCATACTTATGTCGCCATTTTTCCCCAACTCTATCTAGATCTGGTTCCCACCTGTCTAATAATGACCTAATACTCTGTAACTCTTTGATAGAACCCTGGTCGTAGTTGAAAATCTTTTCGTTTCGCTGGGGTGCTCTTCTATCGAAATTGCATGATCTTTTGAACATTCCCCTCAGTTACCATTCCTCATCAAGATGCATTGGCACTTTAGAACTCATAAACTGTACCCAACCAAGCCTCTTTGAACTACATTCACTTTGGTTGGGCATAGGCTTTTCGATGACAACATGGGTGTTTTCCTGGCGACACCCCCCAGATTGATGACTACATAGCGTCATGCCGGAGAAAAGGTTGAAGAAACATAATTTATGACGTAGTTGCATCTACAACGTATGTATAGTGTGAGAAAGCTAAGAGCTTTTTCGTTTTCCTTCATTTTGTCTGGTTGCAGGCTTGCTTCACCTTCCGGCACAGCCACATTTGCTCACTTCCTTGATTGTTAACTGGACTAGCTTGACAAGGCGCAAGCACGAAGGGTGGGAGATCCACTGGAGGCATATTTCGTGTTTAGTTAAAAAGGCTTAGCATAATGTTTCCGAGAAGCGTGGATCCTCTGCCATTCAAGACGAAGATAGGCTCCGCAATAATTGATGATTTGAGGATTATCAGAGTGGCACGGCCACTGACAGACTGGCCGTCCCATAGGGTCAACAGCTCTCATGCCATGACGGAGTTAGTATACTGCGACAAGTGAGAATGTAAGAGCTTGAATGAAATGTAGCTCGTTGCAGTTGAGATAGCATGAATGAATGAACGTATGTATGCCCGTTGCCCTTGCCCTATGCCCTAATCTGATGGCTGTCCCAAAACGGAAGCTCAACAACGGCAAAACAACTCTTATTTTTTTCTTTTACTGCATCTTCGTCTTGAGTGGAAAAATCGGACAACAAGCACGGAAAGCAACATACAGAATGAGAGTCCAAGCTGCCAAACCATCTGAGACGTGCCATGACTTCATCCCCCTGCTGTGTGGGGTGTTTCTGCCTGGGCTTTGCCAATTTAGTGGGACTTGGGGGCCGATATCTGCTTTGTGGGGGGCCATATAATCCTTGAAGATATTATTCTCCAACTCTCATGATGAGGATGGCTGAGTACCGTACGGAGTACAGTGCAGGAAGCAACGATAATGAAAATGAGAAGAGTTGGTGAGCCCAGCTCCTACGCAGGGTGTGTCGGGGTGACTATCCAGAGACTAACCCCTTGCCCCGACTCCATGACATGAAGAATATGTGGACCCGTTCACGACCAGCTTAATATCATGTCCACGGGTATGGATTCTCCTACGATACGATTTGATGTTACCTTTTTCTTGTGAACTGCGCATTATTGATCAATTTATTCTTAATATGTGGCGAAACCCGCAAGTTGGCAGAGGCCTCGTTTGCAGGATAACTAGTTACTTACTATCTTGCCTGTAGAACGGGAGCATTTTCTGCTCTGTGAGCCCAACGATAGGGCTCGCTAGAGCTTGACAATTTTAGGCCCGATTTGGCCGCCGCTTGGACAATTTTAAGGCTTGATTTCGACCGCTAATGGATTTTTCGAACTGTGGGTTCCGCCCTGAGGCCTAAGCTTAGATTTCGACCCTGGACAGCGGGTGCGCGGGGAAAGTTACTATAATTCTCCTTGCTATACTCCGTATACTGCGTACTACTGCTGTACATGTATGTATCTGCACTTCTACGAAAACCAAATGCTATGCTTCCTTGATCATCTCAAAATTAAATATCGGTTTGAAAATGTAGGTCGCTTGGAAGAATTTTTTTCTCCCAAAATGTCCAACTCCACTTAAGCAGCCATAACTACAGCGCTGAAATAGGGTCGAGGGGAGTGCGGCTCTAATTGGCTACTGTCTCACGGCAGACTTCTGTCAAGCCTCAAGGTCAATCGGCAGGCTGTCATCTAATCAGCCGCAGACTGCGCCGTGTCCGTCTCGGCAAAGATACCTCTTCTGCAGTCCATCCTCCCAGGGCGCTGTTGGTGGCTCTAACAGGCTCCGATTACTAACTGCTCAAAAGTCCACCGTTTCCACCGTTTATCCAATGCTGGCTTTGGCACCCTCGAATTTGCAGCAATCCCCCCTCCTCCACCCGGCTCTGCGCAATAACTTTTTTTTTTCTTTCTTTTTTTCTTTTTCTTTTTTTTTCTAAAAGTGAGGACATCCACTTGATCGCTCATCGCCGCCCTTGAGCCAGGCGCCCGCGCAATTGATATAGTCTAAAAGCCCAACAAGCTCCATCCATATGTCCCTAGCTGCGGGGTTTCCAATAGCGCACTCATCAAACGTGCACCGCGAGGACGAACGGTCTAATCCCGTAGTGATCCCAATAATCGTCAACCTTTCCACCACCAGTTACACGGGAAGGTCAACTGTTTTGCGTGAAACCCCCCAAACTTCTCTAAATGTAAAGGTGGCCACCATCCGTGGACGTCTGTTTTTGCATCTTGGCCGACTCATAGTGTTGACTCGTAAACCACTGTGGCCGCGATTGCAGGGTGCTGCTTCCGCGTGGGATACGAGATCACAAGAGAATTTTCTCACGTTTCCTATAGCTAGTGATTTCCGTCCCTGCTGTTCACCTCAGTTTCGGTCAGGCACTGGCCGATCTAATTTTTTGATCCATTTTCCAGGCCACTATTCTTTATAAACTATGTCGGCTGCAACCTCTTCTCCACGGCCTATCGAAAACCAGTCTCCGAATCTATCGGCCTTCAAAGCTCAAAGCTACAGCGATCCCTTTCTCCCGAACCCTTCCAACAGCGACGAGCAATTACCACTAGGTTCTCATGGTGATTCAGCAACAGTAAAGCTTTCTGAATTGGAAAATCAACGCCCGAACGCAGAATTGTCAGGGGAGAGCTTCAACAACCGCTCGTTCCCAGTCTCCCCAAACAATCTCTACCTCCCAGGTGGCTCGAAGGGTGGTCCCACACACACCCGGCCAAATACCAACCCCCAGAGCAACGCCCACTCTCCTACATCCAACCAGGATTTCTTAAGCCCCTCCGATTACGCGGAAAACGGATATAGCGATTTTAGTTCCTTCGGATCCCCCGAGACTGACAACCCCTTCTTCTTGGAGCCAGAGTTTGGCATCCATCCCGAGCTAGAGCCTCTTACACTGCCCATATCAGAAGTACAAGAGCATCACATACCACAGGAGCCTACAGGGCTAAATAATGAGCAAAATTTGGAATCAACAACATTAACGGCGTCGCAACTTCTGAGCCCGGGGCTTACAAATACCCCCAGCCCACCATCTGACGGCCAAAACATACACCTTGCTAGTATGTCTGGCGGAAGAGATAAGGCGCACCGGCCGTCAAGAATGGATATTCCTGCCCATCGGTTTCAGCAAACACCAACTCTTACAACAACCAGCCCTTGCAGCGACACGCTTGAAGTTAATAATAAATTTTCTCATAGCGATCAACCTACGAGCCCAATCGTTAAAGTGTCGAGCTATACCCGTGGCGATTCGCCTGCTGGAAATGATGAGCTGATGGAACGGAGACCAGACAGGAGGGGTCGACCTACGTTATCATCATCTCACCTAGCCCCAACCGACAACAAACACGAGTACGAGTACGATGACACTGACGGTAGCCACTACGTAGGCTCACACTACAGGTCTATTTCAGTCCCCCCATCATCATTACGTGCGGAAGATGGGTCATGGGTCGCCAACTCTTCCACAGGGGCAAGCGGACTCGACCCTGCTTCTCGAGGTGACATCTATGTCCCAAGCCCCAAAGAAATGATAGAACAGCGCAAACGAGAGCAAAAGAATGCAGACGTAGAACAGTGGTTGTCTGTTAGCGAGGTTAGTAGCGAAGTTGAGGATAATGGTGCTACTGGTCGTAAGCCTCGCAGAAGAAACAAGCTGGTGACGCTTCGCCGCAGAGCAAAAAGTACTGGAGACCCGGTCGCGACCCATCAGCAGTTCTTTGATGATTCCAAAATTCCTGGGCCTGGTGTCCTAATCGACGAGGACAGCGGGTTGGAAGATATAGAGGATGACGATGACTCGAATGTTTCAAGCAAATTGCCAGAGACACCCCCGGCAAAAGTGGACTTAGATTCTCGAGACGAACCGCCCGGAGGAGGGTATTTTCTTCCAGTCATCAACGATGATGAAAATCAAAATACGGAGCCACTTCCCCGTCAATTTATCAGAGCTCGACTCTGGCAAGATCCATTTCGAAACCCTCACATCGGCGATACCAGACATCAACCAACGAGCTCGAATGCTGCAATGGCGAGATTTGGGCGTGCTGCTGAAAATATCGAAACTGCGTCCCGCGCTGCCACATGGGGCACCACGCGGAGAATGAGTGAATCAGATATCCGTAGCTTGCATGCATCCGGCGGCTCCTTCAATCCTTCATTTGTCGATAAAGAAAAGAAGCACACCAGACGAAATAGTATCTTCAAACATACGAACAAGCTTTTACCTAAGAGGAGCAGCAGCAGTGCAAAACGCAAATTAGCCGAATCTGCCCAACAGCAATCCAGCACCGAATCCGTCGATAAGCCTAAAAGTAAAGACTCGAGGGAAGGAGGGTTGGGCAGCTCAGTTTTACCACAGAGGAAGCCCAGTTTTACTCGTTCCCCAAGGTCCCCCTCGACAACTGGAGATGCTGTTTGGGCTATGACCGGACAGATTGCTGCGGTTGGAGGTGGTGCGCCTGTCGGAGTACCGTCTCATAGCACATCGTCGAGCCCCTGGAAAAATAATTTCATGAGACGCAGTCGCAGCAAAAGTGATCTACCGAAAACTTCAAAATCACCCGGATCAGGTGGATTGCTGGAGTTAATGACAAGCTTTGGTGGTCCTCCCGTTCCCACCCTTGCTTCCCCGCTTCAAGACAAAGCCCTCACTCCAAGTCCTCTATCGGGGAGAGGGCTAAATGACGATGATGAGGAAGAGGATGACGAAGATGAGCAGATGGGTGACAAGGGGGTTACCATGGACTTCACTGTCAGAGCGGACCCCATTGTGCCAACGCTCGAAGGCTTCAAAACCCAGATTCAGCAGCTCAACCCGAGACTTAAGGAGCTGGCATTGATAGAGCGATTCGCCCAAGAGCAGTTACGTCGATATAAAAGGCTCATTGACCTTAAATTGCAACATGTTCAAGCAGTGAACATGCAAAATTGCGCCTCAGAAAAACATTGCTTTGAGCAGGGGGGTGAAGCCACAATGCTCCCACCCAGAATTAGCTCGAAAGATCCAGACTCCACGTACGCGCAGTTCCAAGTAACCGCCTCAGCCGATCCAGATGAGGATATGAGCGGCTTTGGCGAAGGAACTGTAACTGCGGCGCTCTTCCCCCATGGCGTTCCTCTGCCACCAGTTAAACGTCTTCCCGCTCAGTTTGAATGTTCTCTCTGCTTTAAGGTAAAAGCGTTCCAGAAACCATCTGACTGGACGAAACATGTTCACGAAGACGTTATGCCATTTACATGTACTTTCCCTGAATGTACCGAGCCGAAATCTTTCAAGAGAAAAGCCGATTGGGTACGGCACGAGAGTGAGCGCCATCGACAGCTGGAGTGGTGGACCTGCAACATGCAGGACTGTTCGCATAGATGCCACCGGAAAGATAATTTCGTGCAACATCTCGTTCGAGAGCACAAAATGCCAGAACCGAAGGCTAAATCCTCCAGAGGTCGTGGTAGTGGGAACAACAAAGGAGCAGCAAAGAAGACGGATAACCAGCAAAGCTCGGCTCATGATCAGGGGGTTGACCAAGTGTGGAAGTTGGTTGAAGAATGCCACCATATTAACCCCAAGAAACCACAGGACGAGGCATGTCGATTTTGTGGCAATATTTGTAACAGTTGGAAGAAGCTCTCCGTGCACCTGGCAAAGCACATGGAGCAGATCGCCATGCCAGTCCTAAGTCTCGTCAAACAACGAACAATATGTGCAAATACCCTTATCAGCCCAATCGAGATAGGAAGCTACCCACCCCTCCCGAAAGCTGGTAGTGGCCAGTCACCAGTAATGAGTCCGCTTCCAGGCACAACGCCCTACCGGAATTCCTTCCAATCAGATCAAGCAATCAACGCCAACCTTGGCCACTCAACCTTTGGCACTTCGACGGCACAAAATGCGGAAAGTTATACAACCACTCAGTCCTCTTCACTAGCTGACCATCTTCAGATGCATGCTGTGCAAAATGAGCTAACTGCTGTCTCACTGGGAATGGGAGGGAGGTCAATCTCAGCTGGTGGGCAGAGCTACAATCTCTCACCTTATTCACAGTCAGCTTCGCCATCAATTAGCGAGCAGCAGCGCGTGTATCCAGTTACAACCAGAGCCAGCCAACAATTCAACCCTCACCACGCTTCCGCTACATACCCACCCCCGTATAATGCCGTGTCGCGGCGGCTAGAGTTACCCATTTCGGACATCGCCCAGTCTCCAGTAGGTGCGACGGCATATGACTTGACCGCCGCGGCGGCCGTCTCCAACACCACTGCATATGATACTCAGCAACAAATATACACCTCGCCAGTTGAAAACGCCGGGTATGTCTATCAGCAAAGCCAAGGTGGGATGGGCCCGTCAGTGGCTCTACACTACAATGATGTTACGGCCCCTGTGCAATACCCAGTAGTTTCAGGACCCAATGGCGGTCCCGCAGGTCAGGTAGAAAGCTATGTCCAACACCGTGACGGCCCATATCAATATCAGAACCAGGGATGATCTGTGAGATCTGCTTTCTTGTTTTGCTGGTCTTTAGTTTCTGGCAGGGACGGATTGTGTCATTGTTGAACTTTTCCGGTTTATTTCTTCAATTTTTTTAATTTTGTTTTTGTGGCTTTGGCCTTTATTTATTTTTATTTTTGCTCTCTCCGTTTTGTTCTGATTCGGTTCTTAAGTCTGATTTGTGGTCTTGTGGTTTATGTCCTCCGCCCTTTGGTGTTCAGCTGCCCCATGGATGTTTTCTCGTGATTAAAACCTCGCACAGCGATTACCTCCCCATCTCTATCCAGCCCGTTATGTTCTTTCTTCTTTATTTCGTACCCCTTAACTGGCCATTTATGCTTGTATTGTGTTTTATTCTTTTCCTTCGGGTTTCCTAAACGTTATTATTAAGTTGGCTCCGTTTCGTTCAATGATTTGCTATTAGCACGACCATCTTCTCTAACCATTATTTCGCCGCTTGATTTACGATGCTTCCCCTATTTTTGGTGATAATGTGCCCCATTATTTATGAAATTAGCGTATCGACAGATGTGCGAACACGAATTTCCTATTTCCTGGCTGTAATATCGGTGTGAAAATCGTTTTGAACAGAGAACGACGTGTGTCTTAGAATACTCATTTAATGGCTTCTTTCCCGTCCATCTACCAGCTTGGGATCTGCCGCTCCAATGTATGTATCTAGAGGAGATAAAAGGTATTGGCACCGGATACCATTTCCTTCCGTGATAGTACGTTTTACTTGTGCGGACTATCTGCCTTAGCGGCATCCCATTCCGGGCCAGTCAGAGAAGGTAACAATGTTTGGGGTAACATACGCAGTACATACAAGGGAAGCATCCGTAATGGGAACGAACCGTGCACTGGGATTACTTTGTACATTTGTGAGGAATGGAATCGATCTCCCGCGACCCCCGGTGAAGAGACGAGGCCTGGATTTAGAGACAGGACAGGGCAGGACAGGACAGGGCAGGGCGAAGATGGGATGGGATGGGATAGTTCCGCTTGGTTGGCTGTGGGTTTGCAGATGGACGGCGCTGCGGAGCCCAATGAGGACTAGCGCTGGGCCGGCATCAGACCAAGATCAGATCAGGCAGCAGAGCAAACATTATTAATATATAACTTACATGCTGTTCGTTCCCAGCTGGTAATAATACGCGGAATGCAGCAATAGTGCGCTGGATGAGACGGGTTCGGAGTGTACGTACCGTACCAGGGCTGTCACAGGGTCTGATCGACTGCGGCTCAAACCTAGGACAACAACCCATCAATCAGCATCTATCAGCCACCACCACCACCGTCACCATCACCAACCATCGCCATTGGCAGTCTAGCAGAGCGTGGAGTCGAAGGGCGTGGATGCAACCGCTAAAGGTCTCCGCCAACCAAAGACGACGGGGTCCAGCCCACCCAGCTCCCCGTATGCCTACTGCATTCTGGTGCGCCCGTCGGGGCTGCGCTAATAAGCTAGAGGCCCAAGCCTCCTCTTCTTCTTCATGGCTTCGATGGAACATCTAGAGCTGGCAGCCAAACCATTCTGAGCATCTTATTATTTGCTCGCCCAAACCCGGGATTTTTGTTGTTTTTGCTTTTTCTGTCTCCTTCCCCTATCGACAACAGAGAGTTCCCCAATGCTTCATTTCTCTTCTCCTCTTCTTCTGCAAAAGTGAGGAAGGGAGAGAACAAACCGAGATATCCATCCCCAAGGGAGGAGTGTGCCGATCAGTTTGCTTTTCACTAAGTCATTTGTCTGAGGTTTTGATCTCTCTTTTTTTTTTAGTGCATGCTTTTTTGACTTGATACCCATCTGTGCTGCTATCAGCGTCAGACTCTTCACGTTCTCCCTGTTTGCTTCCTTTTTTTTTCGGTGGGACCTGTTTCGTTTCCGCCTCCTGTCACCATATCTGTCACCGGAACCTCTCCCCGATGATAATTCGAACGGCATGTACTCTGTAGTTGGTCGTTTATCAATAACACCGCGAAAGTCGAGTAGGGATTTATTTTGTTCTCTCTTTTCTGCTCCAGTGCGGCCGCTCTTTCACCGCCACGTCGAGCTGCCGACGACGGGAACTGCAAGAAAAAAAAAACTCCCAAACCCGGAATGCCAAATAGGCCGACGGGGAGGGCCTCGAAAACCTGAGAAGCTTTTGACTTTTGCACAAGCCACGCCTAGTGCTAGCACTTCATTTGTTGGAAGTTCTACCGGCGTCCTCTCCCTTTTTTTGTTTCCTCCCTTCGGGAGTTCCATCAATGCGTACTCGGATCAGTATTCCGACTCGTCTTTGATTTACATGCTACTACCGGAGTTGTCCCGTAACTAATCCGTTGTCATATTCCTTGTCTCGAGCTTTCTCCAATTCTATTTGCGTTCGTCTACCTTTACTCCTACTGACTTTTATAAGCTTAGTTCTCTCGATTTTCCCTCTTCTCGTTACCCTTTTTTTTTTTTTTTTTTTTTTTTTTTTTTTTTTTTTTTTTGGCTACTCACCCTGGTTTTATACCTGATATAATTACCATTACTTCCCTAGACCATAATTTGAGCTCTATAGTCTCATTTTAGCTACAACCTTCTCCTAAATCCTCTACTTGCATTCAAATGCGAAACGTTAAAAGAGTACCCCTCTCATACTTCTTTACTATACTCGTTCATTTTATACTCTGATCTAGAACATTTGGTGTCTACCGTTTAAGGTGGGGTTATTCGCCATGGCCCCAAACCATCATATACCTCACGGGAATGGGCAACCAATGCTCCTTACCACTGTAAGGATGGCTCATCTTTCCTTTAATAATGTTTAATGCGATGTGGTTATGTCTCTTGTAACCCTCAGAAAGCTGTATATTAGCGATATACCTCCTCGCTTCGGGGTATAAGAGGTAGCATCATCCATGTAGTCGCACTAACTAACACCTTATCCCCACCCTCACTAGGTACCGGACGAGGAGACGCCGAGTACCGTTCATGGCAATTCAGCCTGGCATAACGGATATTTCTATCAGGGGGGAATGGACATAAATACTTTCCAACATATGATCACGCCTTCATACGACAATTCGGGACCTGCACCAGCGTTGACTCCTTACGAAATACATTCAGGCTCACCGCCGTTGATGTTTGCAGGGAACATATTCAACCGTAATTCGTTCGAACAAGATCCCACCGCGCATCTCAACACCAACAAACTGCTGTTGTGGGATCCGGTACGACCTATCCAAGATAACCCAACCCCAAGGCAGGAGAATAAGAAACAGAGGATTAGAGGTCCTGACGTTGGCATGTCGGGCAACAACTTTGGACAAACGCCGACTGGGTTAGGTAGTCATGTCAACGTTCATTCCGTTTCGGACTCTGGTTACGCCACAAGCGTGACGGCGACGTCCATTGTAAGCCCCTTCTCAGTTGACCAGGCCGTGTATCCGCCGACGATAGATCCCTTTTGGAATACACCACAGGGTTACCCTCCCCTGCAAAATCAATATGCCTTCGTTGGTGAGCAGCAACAGCAACAGCAACAGCAAAAGCAACAGCAACAGCAGCAGCAGCAGCAGCAGCAGCAGCAACAGCAACAACAACAGCAGCAACAGCAAGCTTGCTGGCAGACTAGTATGGAGGTAAGATCACAAGTAAACGATCCGCCGTTTGCATGCGATGAAGCTGAATGTGAATGGGTTGGAAAGTCTCAATCAGATAAAAAGTGAGTTGATCTTTTTTTTTTCTTTTCTTTTTCTTTTCTTTTCTTTGTATTTTCTTTTATTTTATTTCTTTTCCCTTCTCCATCTTGAATGTCTAAAATTCAATGGAGGATGGCCTAGCTAATGTGAAGCCGCTTAGGAAGCACGTGATACGTCATCAAAAACGTTTCCACTGCACAGAACCCGGCTGCCCTCGAAAAGAGGGCTACGGGACAATCAATGACCTGGAGAGACATCAGAAAAGTCGCCATGGGATCAAGCCAACGCATGGAAATACAAGCGAGTTCAAGTGCTTCGGGACAAACTGCGCGACAAAAGATAAGATCTGGCCTCGGAAAGATAATTTTCAACAACATCTTAGGCGCGTCCACAGGGACGAGAATACCGACGAGCTTTTACGGCGGTAAGACCAGTTTTATTTATTTATTATTCTTACTTGTCTTCTTCTGCGTTGTTTCGACTTTTCTCTCTTCTTTTGAGTATGTCATATCAGTATACTGACTAAAAATAGCTCTAATATTTGGTTTGACTCTGTGAAGCAGTCAGGCCTAAACGGTTCAGGGGGACATAGCTTGCCCACTGGTTCAGCTCAACAGGAGCTTATAGATCCAAATAGCTATAGGCTCAACCCGCTCCAAGAAACGACTCAATTAAGCAATCGGCAATCTCACCCCTACGGGGCAACCATCATAGATGAGGGGACATCTAGCAACAATTCCCACTATCCACAAGGTATTCAATTGGACGAGTGGGACCATGTTAGCAGTAACACCTTGAACTGCACTATCAACTCGATGTCTGTCGAAGCTGGGACGGAAGATTTATCCGGCTCTTCACATGAGGATCAGAGGTGTCAGCTGAGCTCGTTCAATGCCTGGGATGATATCGAACTCCCACAGGATGCTGCTCAACCTTCCGAACACAACGGTGGAGATAACCCATCCTCACAATTCCTTCCTGAAACGAAACAGGGACCTTATTTTGCTTCATTCACAGAGGCTATTCTAGGTCTGTTCGAAGCCATGGGAAAATATGTACCCAACTTACGGCCAGAGCAACTGCGAGATGGAAACGGTGCTGGTTTATGTGAGCCGCCAGATGCTGGTGCCACTGATTATCCTTCTCAACTACCTAGTGGCTCCGGCATGGAGTCATATCTTGAGGTAATTAAGAATGGGTCAAAGCAATCTAGGGACAAGGCCCTACGCGATATGTTCAAGGCCGGTCTGAATTATTTAGAAGCATCTCAAGTGGATACAAACATAGCGCCACCTAGAACCACTAACCTCACCAGTAAGGACAGCCCTCAGCGACGTCGCGAGAAAAAGGTTTTCACATGTAGCTATGATGGTTGTACGCGAGAGACTGGACGGATGTCTGAGATGAAGTGTATCCTCCTTTTCTCCTCTTTATCTAAGTGGGGTACCTCAATTGCTAACGGATAAGTTTAGAAAGCACGAGAAGCGTCACTCTCGACCGTATGGGTGCACCCAGCTTGGATGCCCTAAAAGTTTTGGAAGTAAAAACGACTGGAAACGTCATGAAAACACTCAGCATTTCCAGCTCCAGCGCTGGCGTTGTCCAGTAAACCCTTCCCCAAAAGATCATGTAACGATCCGCGATGAGACACTTATGGAAGGGCCGGACCATAAGGATTTCCCTCCGGCTTTCCTAGTTCGTTCTCAAATCGATTGTGCACGAGTCTTTGACCGCAAAGACAGATTCCATCAGCACCTCCAATCCGAACACTCCCTCGACGGGAAGGCCGCAAAGCAAACCGTGAAACGAAATGAGATTGGACGAAATGGACAATTCCAATTCTGGTGTGGATTCTGCCGCGAGCTCATTCGGCTGCGAAAAGAAGGGCAGGATGCTTGGGACGAACGGTTTGATCACATTGACAACGAACATTATAAGCAGAAACAAAGCATTGATGTTTGGGTTCACCTAGAGGGGACCCTTACAGGGCATTGTATAGAGAAAGAAGATATGACAGGAGCCATGTTGGAAACGTCTAATGGATTTGAGATAGTTGAGGATGTAGGCGAGAAGCCCAAAAGCAGCGACGGCGGAGAAGCAGAGCCGACAAGAGACATGGAATCTACCGTTCCGACCGCCAGTGCCACCGAGTCTATTCTATCACCTCTCACGATTCCCATTCGTAGACACACTCGCCGCTCGCCAGCTCCGGGGTCTCGCGGTCGACCAGGGGCAGCACTTCAAGTCTCTCTCGCACCGGCTACCAAGCGTAAACACGCCTCTACCATGGCAGATTCGCGCCCGGGTGACAATGCTGTGTCTCATCGCTCTTCATCTTTCAACTCAGCGTCGACGATGCCCGATGGACAGCAGCGGATACTCTCGCAGCAAGCAGCAGCGTTTGGCGGAAGGGGAAACGGCTATTCCACGGCTGTCAACCCATTTGGGCAGAACTATGATTATGTTGATGTAAACGGTCTCATCCCTATCAACAATACAGTTCCGCCATGCGCGATTATTTCTTGTGTAAGTCTAACGTGTCGTTGTTCTATTGAGTGGCTTTCGCCTTTCTCCTCTCCCTTCTTCACCCTTCTTTCCTTCTCATTCACCTAAAATATTGTAAAAGAGTGAGAAGGGAAAAATGCGAGGATGAATAATCTAGCTCAAATATATATATCCCCTCTCACCCCACTTTATCATACCAGCTGACAAGATGTGCGCGACTGCAGTGCAAGTGTCCCTCCGGGACAAGTGAATACATGTACGAAGTCGCAGTAAGGTGTATCCAATGCGACCATTCTCCTTGCGCCAATTGCAAGTTTACAGTCTAAATATATATACCACCAAATACTATTGTATATCAACGTGCATTGGTAAGCTCCTCGACGGTCGCGGCGCCCATGCTACACGTTATATATATAGCTCTATATATACCTTTTCGCTGGGATACCAAGGTTAGAGGATATATTAAACGAATTTTGTCGTTTGTGTTTGGTTCTATCTTCGAGCTTAGGAAGCTCTCCGCCCTTTTGGATTTCTTCGTTTCTAAACAGGAATACAAACAGTGCGGTTATGACTTTGTCAAATTGGGAAAAATTTTGTTCGTTTATCTGGGATTCGGAAGAATGGGATGGGGTGGGTAATTGAGCACATTTGATCTTTGGCTCGCGGGAATATGACCTTCTGCCGTTATTACGATCTAAGTCTTGGTTTTTTTTTTTTTTTTTCTTATTAGGTATATGTGTTTTGCATGATGGATATGGTAGCCAGGGTTATTTATATCTAGCTGCGGTAGTTTTCGTTTCCATGCGTACTTTTTTAGCCCCTTTGATTTTCCCCCTGTCTTTCTCCCATTTTCAAGTGCTGCAGTGTTGGGATACGCCAGGTTTTCTCAGAGATTCATGGCCCGAGTTATAATACTAGATTGGATATAATTTCTCCTGTTTATTTTCCTTTGATGTTTCCTTTCATTCCTTTTGTAACTCTTTGGGGTAGTTTAGAGAATGTTTTGCGGTTGATGGACACCGCTTCATTACCCGTCATACTTCTCCCTGTTTAGCAATCTCTGCCATTTTCAATTTTCAGTATGTAGGGAAATTCACATCATAAAACACTCGTTTTCACATAAATCTCATCCATCCCGGTCCTGCAGAGCTATAAAACAATGATCTACATCGTTACAACCCGAAAATGAATGCGTACTTGCAATGAACCACTCACAGCTTCGCCTCCCCAGGCTCCCCAATCAAATCCAAAAAGCTCCCATGCACTTCGTCCGTCAAATCACTCGCCTGCATGCTTCTCCCCTTCGCTACAAACGCCCTCCTCGAGCATTCCCTCGTTATCGCACTACCCGCCCACGCAACTAACAAAAGTGTTGCAGGCCTAGATAATTTCTTCTGTTGCCGATTACCACCTTCCTCCCGGCCTCCACCACCGCCACTCTCCTCACCACCAAGCGAAAGTTCCTTCTCAACATCGCGCTCAGATAGCTCCTCCCTCCCAGCCTCCGCCTCAGATTCCCCAGTCTCCCACAGCCCCTCGTGATACGCCTTGCGCCACGCAAGTAACGTCCCCAACGATCCCGTCAACGTATCCCCCTGCCCGCCACTCCTCTTCAACCCACCCCGCACGTCACAGATGACATTGGCAATCCCATTGGAAATCACATCATGGGGCCCCTTCTGTATAATCGTCACGCCACCCAGCGCAATCGACAGCCGCTTGCAAGCCGCCGACTTGCCCGCATCATTGTCCGATACGGATGATGGTGGTGATGATGATGATGATGCCGCATCCACACCCAGCGCTTTCGCCAGCCGCGCGAACTCCACAACGTTAGGCGTCAGAATGCACTCTGCGTAGCCGTGGATGAGATCCGGGTGGTTCTGGACGAGAAGCAGGGCGTCCGCGTCTAGGACTATGGGGATTTCCCTCGCGCGTGCTTCTTTGATGATCTCGATGACTATTTCTTGCGTGGTTGGGTCTCGGCCGAGGCCGGGGCCGATGACGAGGACGTGTAGGCGGGATAGGAAGGAGAGGATGGGCTCTGCGAGCGCACGGGCGTGTGGGGGGGAAAGGGGGCTGTTGGCGAATGAGGAGAGGGTGCTGGAGGATTGGAGGATTGGGTGGACCATGAGATTTGGGGAGTAGGATTTTATTACCTAGATATTGTTAGGGAGGGGTTATTTATATAGGGGATAAACTGATTGCGATAGGGGAGGAAGTGAGGATACGTACGATTGCCGCGGATGGTTCACAGATAACATGGCTCTACATTATTTATGTTAGGTTGAGGATGCAAATTGTGGTAAGAGATGTATTCATGTAGCGATTTATTTGACTTACCATGTCGCAGCCTAGATGGAGTTAGCGAGATTGGAGTTAGTTGATCCCATAGATCCAACTCGAAAGTCCTGAAATTGAATAGGGGTATGTGTAATGTATATGTAGCAGGAAAGAAAGGGAAGCCTACCAAGTCTTGCAGAAGCCATTGCAGAAAAATACGGGGCACCTGTATAACTGCAGTGTTCGACATGGCATCAGTGCCTCTGCTCTGTTCTCAATAGCAAATAGGATAATTTTCTCTTGGAGAAAACAGCCGCTATCAAATAGAAGAGCGGGGAACGACAAAGCGGTAGAGGGCAAAAGCCTCTGGCGCACACAATCCATGATAACCAATGAAGCACAGACGCCTCTAAACGCATGGAAAGGTGATAATTGCTTCCAATCTCAAATTGGAAGATATCTGGATATGTTGGGAAGCGGAATGAAAAAACGCAGTGTAGTAGACGGGGTACCCACTCTGGACTTCCTCCAATAACTGCAACACGTCCCAGCTGTCCTGTTATTGCGGTATTAGTTACCCCATTTCGCAAATTATAAAATCCATCGCTCCATGACCTGAGATAGGATACAAAATGGGGGTGCGGTACTATCCGTTCGGCGAGCTACTAGCTAACTGATCCCACATCCACTCTATACAGCTAGCCTACTCGCAGCGCACATGCGAGTGGAGAGAAGGACAAAGAAACCTTCCACCCTCATCAGCAGAACTCACCTTTATGAAACTTCTCCAGCATGGGCGGGATAATCCTTCGCACATTAGCGAGCAGTTTCTTCGAGGGGCCGGACATCATTTGGGTTGGGTAGCGGTCGTCTGGCTTCCACATTGGATTTGATGTAAGTGATTAAAGCTGTCTTTTACACCGTCGCTTTTTAAATAGCTGGGCTTGCGCGCGTGTGTATTTATCTTCCCATATAGTAATACATTTACTGTATGCGTTAAAGCGAGCAATTGATTGAAATTTAGAGATGGTTCGCAACTGTATAGTTCAGGGAACGGGATGTCTTGTTTTGATCCGTCGTTATAACCACGTGAGTTATGACGGAATAATAGCTAACCGTTGACGTCAAGCATCGACGCTCATGGCGGAGCTAGATATTGTTACATATCAACTCACCAACTACATACAGCCTGTATTAACACAGAATTTTTTGTAGTTCATCTAGCCTATGGGAGTGTGTAACTGCCTTTTGTCCGAAAGCGACGATGTTCCACGTTACGGCGCAGCTTAAATGGTCGGTCCAGTAGGGGTCGAAAGAGCGGGAGAAGGGGAGTTGGTGCGCCGCATTTATTGCTATGCAATCCTTGTCTAAAAAGGCATCTATTTCGCGGAGTTCCTCTAGAGACGCGTCAGAGATTAGTGCATCGCATCTCATCTCATCCAAGCGATGAAATATTGTCCCAAATTTTCCATACAAGTATGGACCCCGTTCCCTCGAAAAATACTCAAAAGGAAATGCTTCGAAGGCTAGTGAAACAAGCTAGAAACCGTTCAGATAAGGACATGACATTATCTTTTTTTTAGCTATCATCATATAAAACGTCTAGCTAGAAAAAAAGAAAAAAAAGGGGCAAAGAGTGGGATTTTTGATGCGTCTCTTTGAATAGATATAAATTTCACGACCCTCTCCATAGCCCACAAATATGAAGATTGCCAAAAAAAAAACTGAAGACAATGGAAACCCCGACCCGAGTAGCAACAAAAGGAAACAAATTTGATTGTTTTTGAGTTTATTTAAGGGGAATGAAACGCGACGAGTGGGTAGCACCGATACCGGGTCTACCGTGCTTGACGGGTTTGCTAAAGGAAACGGTTAGTATTGCGGAATTAACCAAGGCAAAATAGAACGACAAAAGCGATTATATCACAGAAGCGGTAAAAAGCGAAAGAAGAGCACATACTATGAGATCGAGAATTCACCAAGATAGTGGCCAACCATCTCGGGTTTGATTTCAACTTGGTTGAATTCCTTTCCGGAGTAGATACCGACGATGCTACCAATCATTTCTGGGACCACAATCATGTCCCGGAGGTGAGTCTTGACAAGGTCAGGCTTCTCGTTGGGCTTGGCCTCTTGCTTGGCCTTGCGGAGCTTCTTGATCAGGCCCATGGGCTTGCGCTTCAGGCCGCGATTGAACCGGCGGCGGGCACGAGCGTGGACGACATCGCGCAGCTGCTCGGAGGAGAGGTCAAGGAGTCTGTAATTTCAGAACGATGTTTCGATTAGAATGGCTAGGTTTCAAAGTTTTTGGAATCGCTTCTCCTTTGATATGTATAGGCTGTGTGTGTGAAGGACGGCAGAACAAACGTACTGGTCGAGGTCGATTCCCCGGTAAGAAAACTTGCGGAAGGCTCTCTTTCTCTTGAGCTCTGTTTCGATAGGAACGGTCTGTTAGCCAAATTTGATCCATACTGCATATTTCCTTTCTAGCCCTTCGATCCAATTCAAATTTTTCGGTACGTCGTTTGTCCCTTGCTCTGGCCAGCCTATTAACTCCTCCCGTACCCTCGTCATTTTAACCACTCATTTTTTCATCAACCGTAATATTTCCTTCCACATTAACCCCTTGTCACACAGAACGACGACGAAGAAAACCACACACAACAGGGAGATATAGATATTAGCAACGTACCAGCAGCCTCATCGGCGTTCTAAAATGCCACATAGTAATCAGTATTCAATAGTTCTCCTGGATAACACAGAACGAGAAAGAGTAGCACTCACGTATTCAACGTCAGCCATGATTGCAAATGTCCCTTTTAAGACGCTTTCCGAGTGCCGTTCGAAAAGCGATGGGTAGTTGTTGTCGCGCTTGAAGGGGGCTTGAAGGCGGTTGGGTCGTCGTTCCTCGTCGTTCGGTGGACCAGCGGAGGAGTTTGAAAAGCGTGGAGGGTGAGGCTCGGCTAAGCGACGGCGCTAAGGTTTGTGCCCTAACTGTTCTCTCGATTGGGACTAGCGTGAACCTAGAGCTTCCAGCCTTTTGGGATTGTTCGAAAGTTGAAAGGGGTCGGTCATTCGTGACTTCCACGGCTCGTTCAGAGTACAATAATAACTCGTAGACGGTCCTGAGATAGAGATTGAACGGTAGGGCTTAATACTGCGGGAAGAGCTTTATGGGCATTTTAATCTACGGCAGATACTACTGGGGGTACGGTACTACACGTCGCTATAGGGCTGTAGTGAGCGAGGAGGCGCATACTACTACTGGAACCTGAACAGTTCAGAACAACGGCCATCTTCGATTCGTAGGCAAGTAGATAGATGACGTTAGGCATGTTTGTGATTTTAGAAATACATGAACCTTTCCATCATGGATGTCATCAAAAAGCTAGTCAACCTAATCTTGACAAATGCCATCATCCCGGCTGCAATGCATTTACAACTATGATCGCCAGACTGATACATTTTTCTGTTCCAAAGCGGCACGTAGAGTATCGCATCGCAGTCCCAGTTGTTGACCATATCCTCGCGAAGCGAGAGATGAAAAGTATCACTTGATTTAGTCGAAGAGACCGAAGCCCATATCCTCATCGGACTCCTCCTTCTCCTCCTCCTTCTCCTCCGCCTTCTCAGCAGCAGCCTCACCGCCAGCGGCAGCGGCGCCACCGGCAGCAGGGGCGCCACCAGCAGCACCACCAGATGGGACGGAGGCGAGCTTGGCGGTTCCCTCAGCGATCAGCTAGAAAAAGAAGGAAGAAATTGATGTCAGTAATCCCATCCCACACTCATATTAAGTTAACGACCTCGGAATTCCGTGCTAGGGGTGATATGCACTGACCTCGGAAAGATCCTTTCCTTTGAGCTCAGAGAGGAGCTTCTCGAGGCGCTCATCGTCAGCATCGATACCGACAGCGCTGAGAACGGACTTTATGTCCTCAGCAGAGGGGGAGGTGTTTCCACCTAGGCCGAGGAGGAGGTAAGCTGCGAGGTGCTTCATTTTTGTATGTGTTGTTTTCTAAGAGCGAGGAAATACCAAGATTAGTATACGGGTGTGGTCAACAGCAAAGGGCAAGATAACTTCTAGGCATAATACGTACATTTGAGAGTTTCCGAACAGGAGAATCAATCGATTTAACCGCGAGTTGGGCGGAGACTGAGACGTCGAGTTCGATGGGGATTGAAAACGGTGGTTGGTTGCAGCACAAGGAAGATTGGATGGTGAAGCGTAAAATTGTTTTCGTAGCAAGCGAGCGTGCGTTTAGTAAGCAACGAATGCCTGGCACTAAAGCTACCAATGCAGGAAGCAGAAAACTTGACCTCGCTAAGTGCGCCACTTGACCTTGTTATGTAAGCTGACCTCGCAAATGTGGCCCGTGCCACTACCTGACCTCGCTCAATACATCTTTTCTTGTAATTTGAAACCACTCTTTCTTTCTTAATTATTTACCATCAATTCTACAATCAATTTAAAATCAATTTAAAATTAATTTAATACTGAAATTATTCTTGAATTTAATAATAAAGTAAGTATTTATATAATTTACACTGAATTGATTATCAACTGATTTTCAATCAATTGTTAATTACTTAAATATACAGATTGAATTTATTTTATTACTATAATTAATTAATAATTAATTCAGAATCAATTCAAAATCAATTTAAAATCAATTTAATACTGAAATTATTCTTGAATTTAATAATAAAGTAAGTATTTATATAATTTATACTGAATTGATTATTAACTGATTTTCAATTGTGATGGGCTGCGTCTGATCAATTATATAGACTATTTTATTACACTTTACAGATTTCAATCACTTCATTCTTGAACATGTACACTTCAATTCTCAGTCATTCTTGATTGTCAATTCTCAGCTACTATAAATATATATAGATTCTTCCGCTCTGAAGCTTCACTGTATACATTATTATATACATATATAAATATTCACTTTGATCACTGATTCTCATACTTTCTCTTTCTTTTTCTTCTCTAACATTTTTCTCTTTATTATATAAGATCTATCAATATTATATCAATCTATTCAGTGTAAATCTCTTATACTAGAAAAATATTTATTGTCTTCTTATTAGAAATAATTATTCATATTCATTATCTTCTTATTAGAAATGATTACTCACTGAGATATTCAAACATGTAATAATATATAAGAAATAGAGAAACAGTTAAATAGTTAAGCAGATACTGAGTTCTCAGATAGAAGCTTGCTTATCAGTTACTAGACTGACTGTGTGACCGTGTCTGAGATCAGAATCAAACTTTACAGTTATCACATTGTCTAAAAGCATTACTTCTGATTATGATTTGTGTTCATTACATTGATCTCAAATCATGTTATTTCAAATATTAAAGATCTCAGATTCACTTTTCAAATAAAAATCTAGTCTCAGATAAAGAATATATTTGAATTCTTAGTTACATTTTCATTCTGATCTCATTATTGAGAATGATATTAAATGAGATTATGAAATCACTTCTCACTTACATAATATTATAACATAGTGCTCATTTGTTGAAAATTCAACAGAGAGTATTATTAAATATCATTACTTTTCTGAACACAGATCATAATTCATATAATTTTAATTATAAAAAAAATATAAAATACAAAAAAAAAACAAAAAACAAAAAACAAAACAAAAACAAGAAAAAATCAGAATGAAAAAAAAAAAAAAAAAAAGAGAAAGAAAAAAAAAAAATAAAAGAAAAATAAAAAAATAAAAAATAAAAACAAAAAAAAATCAAGATCACAGAGCTGCAGCATCTTCAAAATACTCACTTCTCAGAGTCTTTACAATATTCATCATCAATCATATATCTCTCACAGTGAGAGTAACACAGCTGTGATGAGTCATTGTCTTAATATCATCTAATAAATAATTAGTATATATCTGTATAAATGTGAATATTTAGAAAATATACACTTAAAAAGTGTGATCAGGGTGAACTCTGCTGTCACTTGAATGATATCAAGAACAGAATACTGAAATCAATGATTTTCTTCATTGATTTCACAGATAAGGCGGGTGAAGA